GAAGAGAAGACTGAGAGGCGACCTCATCAATGTGTACAAGTATCTGAAGGGAGGGTGTCAGGAGGACGGGGCCAGTCTCTTCTCCGTGGTGCCCAGCGACAGGACAAGAGGCAACGGGCACAAACTGAACCACAGGAAGGTCCGTCTGCACATGAGGAAGAACTTCTTGACTGTGAGGGTGGCGGAGCCCTGGACCAGGATGCCCAGAGAGGTAGTGGAGTCTCCTTCGCTGGAGATATTCAAAACCCGCCTGGATGTGATCCTGGGCAATATGCTCTAGAGGACCCTGCTTGAGGAAGGGGGTTGGACTAGATGATCTCCAGAGGTCCCTTCCAACCTTAACCATTCTGTGATTCTGTGATTCTCATGAGCAGAAGAATAAATGACCTTAAATGGGCATTTTATCAAGTTCTCTGAAAGAATTTTAAGCATACAAACTTGTGAACTAGCTCTTAGAAATACTTTCACATGCTTTTCTTGCTGAGAAAGCGCTCATAGTAGTGACTTTCAGCTTTTCATAGTAGTCACTGAAGAGCGTTATTTAGGCAGTCACTTCCTGAGCTTAGAGGAAGTTCTAGAAGTGTTGGAGAAATTCAGATTAAGTACCATTAAGCAATCAGCTATGGCAAAAGTAGTGGTTTTTAAGGTATATCCCTATAGGGCGATTGTGCAGAACCACTCTTCTCAGGGATGCTTTCAGGGAGATGTCTTGCTTTCCTGATCCTCCTTGTGCATATATGTACTGCAGCTGCAGGGTCTGAGGTGGCCCTGACTCCTCATCTTGCTGCTCTATTGCGTGCAGATGCTGGGGAGGAACATTTGTCATCTTCCACATGAGTGCAGGAATGAGGGTCAGCTGCAGTCTGGGCTCTGATAGAAACAACTCAGATTTTAGGGCTAAAGGTTTTTGTTGTTAGTAGTGTGGCCGAGTGCTGGCAGGGGGTGGGGCAGGGATTATCCTGGCACCCAGGTAATGGAGAAGGGGTTTACCTACTCCATTGTTGCTGCTCCAGTTTAATAACCTCTCCTGTTCAAAGTAAGAGAGGAATCCAAGTAGCAAGAGATCTTACAGCGTCTGTGTGGGTCTGCTTAGATCAGTTCCCAGGCGAGGCAGATTCCCTGTGCCTCTGGATATGCACTGTAATGTGCACAGGTCTGGTGCATGAGGGCTTTCTACACAATGCAGTTGCTCCCTCGCCCATGGAGGAATAGCGTGTCTTTGATAGGCAATGTGCTTCTGAGGTGAGCTTTTGAAACAAAAATCTCCAGGCTGGGTTGGCATGGGAGGCCAGCAGTGGGAAGGAAGAGAGTGAAGAAAAGGAAAAGAGAGATGAAAACTTAGATTTTAGGATGCATTACACTTAAAATTCTGAGACTGTTCCACTGATGGGCAACACAAAGAATTAGATTTACAATTTGAAGTAAGTTCTGTAGTAAAATGATTGGACTGATGAAGCAATCTCTCTCACTAAATTGCTTTCCTAGGAGCCTATCCTGAATGGGGCTGTGCAGCTCTTTCTGATATCTGAGCATCCTCAGTTCTCATTGTCTTCAGTGGGAATTGAACTCCTCACTGGGTGATTAGTCCCTTACACGTCTGATTTTTCTACTGCAAACTGAAAGGTGCCTTTACTTTCAGTTAGCAGCCATAGCTAACGCTCTTTAAGTGCAAGCTTTAGCATGCTTGCATCATTGGATGGCTCTTTTGTGAGGCTTGCACTTAAGTGTTTGTGAATATATTCTTTTCCTTGCTACTTCCTGGAGAAAGGATCCATGATAATCTTGTTACACTGACTGCATTACATCAGCAAATAAAACATACAAAATAGCTGATGGTAACCTTTTCCAAAAATAATCCTGTCAAAAGCCCACAAGACAATATTTTCTTTTTTAAAGTAGAACGCGTTTTGCCTTCGAAAAGGAAAGGAGACACTTCAAAACATGGTGAGAAGCCTCATTAGAATGGAAGATAAATGAAATAATGAAAGGGAGATTTTCTACCTTTCCTTTCCATGAGAGAAGACCTGCTAAAATGTGATATATTTACAGTCCTCATGTTGCTGAAGATATAAATGTTTTTGCTTTCATGATCTCCATTTGTGCTACTGTGCATTTTGGTTTGATGGATTGTGGAGCACTGGGTGTTGAGAGGAAGAGAATCAATAGCATGGTACAAAAGATGAAGTAACTGATGGAACATCAATAAAGGCTAAAAGTTGCCATAGGGATTCGAATCTTAAAGAAGAGCTTGAGAAAGTATATTAAGAAGGATTCGCTGCTCCTCCCCTTGCGCTTATAGCCTTTATTCCATGAGTAGAGCTCACCTGGGGGTTCTTGTCAAATACAGGGCTGGAGGAGTTGTTTCTTTTCAATGTCTGTATAGTGCCGAATGCAATGCCCCTGGGCGCAGGGTCTTCTGAGCGCTGTTGCAGTGTCATTGCTATCTAGCGCGATAGCTGGCATGAATAAGAGTGGAAGAGCTGAGCACTAGTAGTCTGGTGTGATGTTAAAGGGGCTCAATGCATGCAAGCTGAATGGGAGGAGAACCTTGATCATGCCGAAGTTATTTGCTGTTTAAGAGAACTAGTGTATGGACCTGCAACACATGTGAGCGCATAACCAGGAGTGTTCCCAACCAAGAGTGTTCCCACGTGACCCCTGTTTGCCCTAGTGTTAGCATTGTACAGTACCATGTTCAGTGATTTGTCAGGATGCAGTCTGGAATATTTAATCCCAAATAAATGGCCGTTTGCTGAGTAACATACTTTTCAAGTTAAAGAAGGGTGTCTCATACAAAATGGCTACCTCCACTGTCCAAGCAGAACTCCAGTGGGTTTTTTTTGCTCAGGTATGGACCAAATGAGGTTACTCTGTAATTCTGAGCTATAAAACAACAAAATTGGGGAATCCTTGAATCATTTGCCCTGCAGACAGAAATCTGTGTGAGAGGTATTTTTCTTCCCATAGTACAAAGATGTTTGATGAAGTCCATTATTAAATGATGTACACGTTGCAGATATGCAGTAGAATTGTGATTTCATTGCTAGCTTTCATAAGTATCTTTATGCAGGAGGCACACACAAAGCATCACATTAAATTTTATGGTAAAAGGTGCTACTGAATGTGAGTGAAGGTATCACAATATGCCTCTTAAAATGTCTGCTCTAAATTCCAAATGTTCCTCTCCTCATGCTTATCTTCTTGTTTCTAAAATGTTTATCAGTACTGCTTTCACAATTTATTTCTTTATTTTTGTTTGTAACATGAAGCAAAAAAACCTTCTGGTTGCACATTGCATTCTGAAATTGTATTCATTGCTCACACGTGCAAGAATTCATACTGATGTCACACTCCGGATTTTAGTTAGAATTCTGACTCCATCACTCTCATAGTTTAAAAAAAAATCACTAAATAAAACAAGTAGCTTTGTCACAAAGACAAACCAAAATCAGCCGAGGCAAATTAAGTTAGAGCCATAAACATTCCTCCTCTGAATTCAAAATAGTTTTTGAAACAATGGTCTTTTAGGTGAGTACCACTAAACTAGTATGGGGAAGCTAGGCTGTTAGTATTGAAAACCTCAGATGTTTCTATCTAAGCAAATTGTCTGGGAATTGCCTAGTAAAATATGCCATTATAAAAATAAAGCTATTAAAGCAAGGTCGGCGTCATGATTTTTCTTCTTTCGCAGGTCAGGTGGTATTTTCCAGTACTAACTTTTAGAGTTGAAATAAGTTAATGCAGAAATCAAGTCTAGATTGTACATCTGTTTGCTTAGTTCATAGCCAAGCCTTTCACAAAAGGATGCAAAGGAATGCACTGTTTTGAAGTGCATTAGCATTATTAGTAAGACATTAAAACGTGACATGTTTTAAAAAATATTACTTCTGCCAAAATATATGGTTATGTTGGATTCTGTCTTCCAAGGGATAGTGTACTTGATCCAGCAATACATTTAAGCTTAGGACTAATTTCAAGCATGAGAACACAGAAGAACTACTCACATGCTTAGAGTTAAGCACAAGGTTAATTGCCATGCTGTGAGAAGATCAAGTGTTCAGCCATAAGGACCTGACTCTGCCAGTCTCACTGGTTTATTCTGCAGTGGGACACCTATGAGGTTTCACCCCATTTACACATGAGTGATGGAATCAAACACACTACTTAAGCCTTAAATCTAAGAGGTGAAATTTTAACCTCTGTGATCAGGACTTCTCCCTTAATGTTGCATATGTCTAACTTCTTTGGCAGCTTAAGGTTCACAGGGGTCTGTGGAGAGAGTCCTTCAGGGACTACTGCTTTGCAGATGTGGCTGGAGTAGGGCCATCAAGTGCAAGTAGCGAGACAGCCTAGTTTAGCACAAGGAGATAAACCATGCCTTTTACCAGCTGCAATCAATGTTCTCTCTGAGTTCAAGCCTTTGATCTAAATCAGGGGACCATGACCCACACTGTCCTATATCACAGATGGGTGTGCAAAGCAACAGACGTTTGAGGGGTTTAGATCTTGTTCTACTTCTTCATGGTTCTCGATGCACAGTCTGCATGCAAACCTGCAGGTCTGAGTTTTAATGCTTCTTGGGGCAGGCAAGGGATGAGAAACTCAGATACTTCAAAAAAGCTTCATAAGTCACAAAATCCAGTTCCTGCCCAGATTTGCTAATTTATTGAAGGAGACAAAAACCCTTTTCTGGCTTTACTTTCAGGTTGCTCCTATAATTAAAGAGAGGATGATGAAGAAGGGCAGCATGATGCTTGGGTATCAGCCTCACCGGGGCAAAGTCAACTTCTTCCGCCAGGTGGTCATCAGCCCACAAGTGAGCCGAGAGGACATGGACTTCTTGCTGGATGAAATGGAGCGCCTTGCCAAGGACTTGTAGCGCTATTTCCACAGCACCAGGTGTTGCGCTTATGTGTGATATTTGTGGAGAAAGAGTGGCAGCAGCATTCTGGTGCTATCTTGTGAAAGGTAGTAAAGAGCTTGACATATAGCTTGGAAACTGTCATTTTACATAGTGATGTTAAGGATCTTGCAGGTAGACTACCCCTCCACAGGAAAGTATTTGCTGATGGGGGCTGAAGATGGCCAGGGGCAGGCCAGTGCTTGCAGCACCACTGCCATTCTGGGAAGTGTTTCCTAGACAAGGAAGCACTTCTGAAAATGGTATCTATGTCCCAGGTAGGGCAGCTATTTACAGGGTGCCTGTGCACACCGTAGTTCAAACCAGTCACTTAAATATGCAGGCAATACTCCTCTAAAGTTACTGTTAGGAGTGAATTTAGCTCAGGGAGCTTAAAAATGCTAGCTAATACTCTGACGACTCTGTTGATAGCTTAGTTTGGTACATGTTTAAGGATAGAGGCCTGGTTGGTAGTCACACTGATAAGACTGGAAATTGAGGACATTCATGAAGATTTCCTCAGGGCCCTTAAGTAGGGCAGTTGCCCAAATTTTTCACAATGAGGACAGTTAGGCAGTGGAACAGGGGCCCCCAGGGGTTGTACAGCCTCTGTCCATGGAGATTTGCAGGACCTGGCTGGACAAAGGCCTGAGCAACCAACATTGACCCTGCTTTGAGCAGGCTGAGCTAGTTGGCTTCCTAAAGTCCCTTCCAGCCTGAAGACATGGTTGGACTTAGTCAGTGTTTGCAAAGGTTTCCCACCCAAAATGTCACTGCAGCTTTAGTAGAGCTGAGAATGTTGGAATAGTATCTCATAGTTTCTTAAATCTTTGTTAACAGGAGATACCTATCATTTCTGAACTACTGTTCACCTTCCTCTATTTTTAAAGAGTTAACATTTTTTTAGCAGCTTTTACTGCACTTTAAAATGATAACAGAGAAACAATGAAATGTATTTATCTGAAAGATAAGTATTTTTATGCATCATGACTATTTATAAAGAATATAGCAAAATGACATATTTGTCAGGGTCTGTTTGGATTTTCCTCCAGATTTAGGACGGCTAAATCTCATGTAATCAATTTATGATTTATATTCTGGTACTGAGATTAAGATGGTGGTGATCAATGAAAGTCTGCCTGTGATTTTAAGGTGTGAACAGTCAGAGAATTTTTGGTCAATCTTAATTTGAAAAATTAAATTCTAAACTTTGTATTTATGTGTTAAGAATGACAGTATGCTTTTAATTTATTTTTCATTCTAGCTATAAAATGATCCATTTTATAAAGATAGAAATCATAAATATATTTTTGGAGTGAAGTTCTTGCAGCAAACTTAAGGAAGTAACCAGGTCTTTCAACTTGTAAATCAGCACACACTTTGATGTTTTAGTGTTTGTACCCTACTTTGTCTTTGAGGTAGCACTGACCAATATGAATTTTTCTACTGTAATGTTTTCTGTATTACTAAAAACATAATGCTTTCTTGTTTTCATTTCCTACATTGTACTAGGTTTCAACATTGCATGACATTCCCACTTTCACTCTCCAGGATGATGGTATGGAAAGTTTAACAAGGTCATAGTCACTGTCAGAGCAGTAGATAGGAGCAAGAGTCACTTCATAGCACTTGACAAATGGCTTTAACAAGGTACTGGAAATGAATATTCTCGTGCTGTTATTGTGAGCCAAGCACCACATTGATATTAGTGGAGAGTTCTACATAAAAATGAATGGCACACTATAGCCACTGGATTCTGCCCTGTAATACCCGCAGGATTTACATCATCATTTATTACCTCATGCTTCTGGGTGTACCAGGTATCGTGATCTTGGGAAGCACTTGTCGTTCAGGGCTGTAAAGCTTATTTAGCCTCGCAGCCATTCTGGATGGAGCTCAGAGAATGCAAGGGGTGCTGAATGGAGGGGATGATTTTGCTGTTGCCTTGTGAGATGCATATAGACTGTTAACACTTCTCTTTTTCCACCTTGAAGGGAAAGTCAGAATACAGCATCAGGATTTTTTGATTATGGTCCAGATTCTTGGTGAGTTCTTGATTCGGGGGAAGATATGCCACCTTCTATCAGCTAAGAATTTGTCTTGTGGTGTTTTGTGGCACCACTGCTAGCAAAAAGTGTTACCATCTTGTTTCTGTTCATGTTAGTGCTTTCCTCTGTTTCCAGATATTGTGACACTCAGGGTACTTGTTGGACTGAAAAAGCACAGTTCCTTTCTGTGGTTGCAGTGTCTATAGTATTTTTTAAAAGAGAGCAGAATGGAACATTTTCAGTGTTTGCAGAAAATAGATCTCAGATCAACATGTGCAGTTTTCTTCAAAGGTAAAGGTTAACCTTCCAGCATGATGTGAGTAGCTTATCTGATCTCCTTATATTTTCTGTTATTTCTGACTCCTTATCATGTCCAAAGCATGCAATGTGAAGGTCTTATTTCAGGATTATAAGGTCATTTTCTTATAGTTACTTATTTAGAACTAGTATGTACAAAATGTCTATTTTGTACCTGGTGATTTTAATAAAAAGTGAAGTAAAGGACACTCCTATAAATACAGAATGTGTTTGTCATTTGTCAATCTAAAACTGCAGAGATATGTGTAAAGAAGGTACGAATAAGCTCTCCAGATGGAGGAACAGCAAACTGCCTGCACAGCTTTAAAATGCAAAACCTAGTTTAACCCTATTGCAGGATGTGGTTTATCTGCATGCTGTGCCCATATCATTTTTAATAAACATCTTGGATGAAAATGTGTCACTATTTATCTTGCTCTTGCTTTCAATTGCAGAATTTAAATCATTTTTGCAGAAATGGCTGTTTTATTTCTTTTTTAAATATTCTAGCTAGATGGGGTTGGCCCATGAGCTACCACTCCTAGTTATTGAGAAGCACCGTCTTTCAGGGTGTTAAGCCAAGTTCTGGCAGCGGTCAGGTACAGGTATAAATCAATGCAGAAACTAATTCAGTGGCTGTTTCTATCTTGGTAATTTCTTGTGTCTAGTTTTAATAATCTGTTTTTTAATATGGAGCTTTATGAAATGAACAAAATACTTAGGAGGGACACCGAGGCAATTTTTATTATTGGTTGGGTGGATCCATCTTGCAGAAACTTTGAGTGTATGAGCATGTTGTACTGGATCCAGTGCAACATCACTCATGCAGATCATAACTCCCATTGATTTGACCAGAAACCCTTGCTGGGTGGGGCCCTGAGTTTTACCACTGAGATCTTTCATTTCAACAACAGCATTTTGGCACTGAGAACATCGCAGTTTATCTATTTGAGGCTCATGCCTGGAGATTCAGATTTATCTTTATTTCTGTTAGCCTGAATTGAAATGTGTTTTAACTTATATCCTTTAATGATGCAATAAGATGCTCTTCAAATAGCATGTGACCATTAAAGGACAATAGTCCTTCTGAAAGCCTGGTAGAATGGGAGGGTTTGCATGCCTAGCTAGTCAGGTAAGAGGGGTTAAAGGCCTCTTATATGTCTGAGGCTTCCTCATGCACACAGACCACAGCGTTACTTCATGCTCAAATAGCGTGTATTTTTAAATCTTTTGGTAGCATAATAGAACTCACAAAACTGTAAGTGGTGGAAAGTAGAGTAGGAGAATAAGTCATAAATGCTAAATGGTACATCTGCCTCTCCTTACTATATCACATATGAGCTCTATGAAAAGCCGATGGTAAGCTGAAAGACGTAAGTCTAGTAAGAGCTATGTACAATAAATACTATATACACAGTTTTTAAGTGTGTAAAAATCTTAGAAATGTTGTAATTTGCGGAAAAGTACTTCAGGAAAGAAGAAATACATTAATTCAGGAGTAAGTAGCAATGCAAGTTCTGTGGAGTCTGTTGGGAACAGCGAAAGCTAAGGGTAGAGAGCTATAGCTAATAGAGAGCTGTAGCTAATATAACCTAGTCCAATTAACCTTTCTTGAATGCCCCACCTGTCTTGTACTCAAGCATCTAGCCTTTTGTTTAATGGTAATAAATTAAACCTTTTTTCTCTTTGTTAAACTTGTGTAGTAATAAGAGTGCTTTTATTGTGATCTAGTAGACATTGGGCATTTCATTCCTTGAGAAACAGTTGCTCTACCTGCAGGGTGTATTTGCGGTGTCCTCAGCATGTGCTTTGGAGCTCTTGGCAGTTGGAAGTGGACTTTTTCTACATCAAAGCTACAAGGAGCAATTAAGGGACTGACAACCTTCAGTGCAGGGGTGGCAAAGAGGAAGTGCATTTAGCAGAGCTACTCAGCACTGCTTTGACAGGAGGTGGCAATGCAAGTGGTGGGGGTGACTGCCTGCTCAGGGGGCCACTTTTCCTGTTGTGTTAAGGAGTCCATCTTGTCCCATCAACAGCTAAATAGAAATCCCATCAGGAGATCTTCAGACAGTGGGGAGGAGATGTGAAACTGGTCAGTTTGTTATCATTTGCACGTGTACTTGTGTCCTCATGTTAGGAGGTGAAGTGGCCTGTTTTGGGCCACAACCTTGTCTTGTCCTGTGTTCAAAACTACTTCTGAGCAGTCAGGCCATTTCCAATGTTCGTCTTTTGCTATAAACCTACAGAGCCTTCTCACAGCTGCTTAGACTGCAGGAACTGAATAAGGAAATGAGGTAATAAGACCTGGAAATAGGGAGAAAAATCTACCTAGTAGTACTGACTGGAGCAGAGAAGGTTCCTTAAGACATAGTAGTATTCATTGGCATCAGACGCTCTCCCATAGGCTTTGTTTAATGTTAATAATTATCTCTCTGTCTGCAGATAAATTTGTATCATATTCATTACTGACTTTTAAGTACCCATTCTGAACAGCTCCCAGATCTGCATAGCCTCCCTTCCCTGTTTGCTACTGGTATGGGCCTTGAACAGGAGAGAGGAGTGTGTTCAGCCTGGAAATTGGTTGTAGGTGAGGCCCCCCTCACGTGCCTTCCCTGCTTCCTGTGGCTTAATTGGTAAATGTTGATAAACCGTCTGAGCTTATAAGTACTATATGCGGTACAGTAACTGCTAAATATCCCTACTGTTACATCCTGAAATAATGCAATTGCAAACATTCATTATGTCTTAATTGCTCATGCTAATTGCAGGTTAGATGCAATCAAAGCAGCGCTATCTGGCAAATGTACTGTGCAACCCGTGAGAAACCCTGGTAGAGGGGTTTTCTTTCTTTAAATTGAATCTAGTCTCCCACAATTACATGTTTTTGCTTCAGATGTACAATTAGATGTTATTACTCTAATTCTGTAACTACACAATAATCAACCAAAAATTACATTGAGGAGCAAAACAAAACAAGGAAATCTGCACAGCAAGAGGTACAATAAAAAGAACGTCAAAGGTTTCAAGGCAAACCCACAAAAGGAAATAACGATAGTGTGAATGATTAACCTCTGCTAAATCAAAGGTTCATGAATATGCTGTGTAGCTGGGCTGCAGCAGTGGAATGAGGTGGTAGCTGCTATAAAATCATCAAAGGACTCACATACATGCCAGCATCTCTGCAGTCTGCCCCAGAATAGCATGGTCTATCCATTTATTCTAGAAGAGCCCTTAAAGAGGACAACATACTTCGTAGTACAGTAACGATTTTGTAATTTATCTGAGTAAAGTTTGTTTTAAAGCATTCTTAATAGTAAAAGTGAAATTGAAAAGGCAATCTTGAAAAAAAATCCGGAGGAGATGACCACCTTAAGCCATAGTAGCTCATGTACAATTGGTGTAAAATTGATCACATTTTTTTAAATTAATTTTGTAAAAAAATCCTTATGGTCTGCATTATATGAAGGCTAAAGTCAAACAATAGGGAGTGAAGGACAGCAGCCTTTAATAGCTCTGTCAAACACCGGTGTTCCATTTTGATGAAGGAATTTATTTCTTCTAAGTATCTTGGAGAACAGTAATTTCTAGACAGCTATTTAAAAATGGAAAGTATGATGAAAGCACTTGCCATGAAATAGCGGAGGCCCATGGAAAACATCTGCCTTTGGGACTGTGTGGTCTGTATTGTCCTCTGCACCAAGCTGTTCTTCCAAGAAAACTTCTCCCAGCTGGTTGTTCTGGGAATTGGCCCCTCAAATCCAGCAGGCACCAGCAGCTGCTGCTTTATCCAAGTTGCTCCCTCGTTCCAGGTGATCGGGATTTTTACTCGTTCTGATTTTGTGACTTCTCTCATGCCTGAACATCGTACGTATTTTCAGAGGGAGATTTTGAGTATTTGGCAGGAAAAGTGTGGGAATAGCACAAGAGGGAAGATTGAAAGCAATGTTTAGGCTGATATCTCAGAATGGAGTTTTGCATCTCTTCATCAGCAATGAAGTTTTCTAGATTCTGAGGTGATAACCACTCACTATTTCTGTCAGAAGTATGACAGCGCCAAGATCAGGGCTTCTCAGTGCACCGTACAATGCTGGGGACCAGTCTGACCTTAAAAAAATTAACTAAGACAAAGCCTGGGAGAAAGAAATGTTGGTTGTCCTGGTTTACAGATGATGCACAAGGAAGTTAAAGCTTCTGTATTAGTCAAAACTTGCACTGTGGGTATAGAAAAATTATTGAAGAAATCAATAACAGAGGATATGGTAGTGAATGAAATATGGGATGTTACGTGATATGGGCTTACCAGAGGGAGATGGTGCCAGACTGACCAGATAGCTTTCTGTGAAAAATTGGTTTTCTAGACCATGCAATGGAGAAGATGTCATTTTCCTGGACTCCATTGTTGTATTTGATGTAGTATCATTTGGAGAAGCCTAGATAAGATGGGGAGGAGGATAGAAAACAGAAGGTGGATAGGAGCTTTCTGGGGAGAAATGAAAATGTGTAGTGGAGAAAAGAAAGATACCACTCAAGTATTGGTATTGATTCCGGGCTAATTGGGTTTCAGACTTTCATCACTGACCTCTTCACAGAGATTATTCATGTGCTCATGAAGCTTGTTGATGATGAAGCTGAGCTGGCAGCTTTGCGGTTTGGCATATGTGTGAAGCTTGGGGATTTTAAGAGCCGAGGTGTTAGGAGAGGGAGCACTTGGTCATACAAAGTGCAAAGTCCTTGGGGACTTGCAAAAAGCTGCAAGAGCTGTTGGTGAGAGGTAGGATGTAGTAAACACGTGGGAGACAGGAAACTGTGGGCATGAATATAATGTTGGCATAAACAGTGCAGGATCCCTAAATGCCACATAAATACAGAAACTGAACCAAGAAAGGAGGTGATAAACATGAAAGCAGAAATAGCCTTGCAGCTGGAGCATGGCAGCAAAGACGGCAGAGCTGGGGCAGGCAGTGGCTGGGGCCG